TATAGTACAAACACTAGTGCACTAGTTCATATTAAAACTCCAGAAACTAGTCATAATAATTTTTACTACTGGTTTTATTATTTCCTAATTTTAAGTTCTCTATAAGGATTATTTTTTACAGATAAGCTCGGCAAGAGCGTAAGAGTAACAATCCAAAAATCCATAGATAACTTTCCAAAGTTAGGGCTAATTTTCTTCCAGTGCATTAGGAAGTGTAGGGCATAGCCAGTAGCCGACCCAAACCGAACCCGATTAACCTCTGGCTGAGATTTCCGCCGCGAAGATGCCTCGGAGCGGAGCGACTGCCGCCGGTGTTTGTCAGTCTGCTGTACATGCTGACTGCGTGCGGTTCTCGTTCTCCGGCGGAACTTGTTTGGCGTAGAATAAAAGCCCCTCTTGGCTTTCACACGGCGCGAAAAGTGCTCAGCCCTCTTAAGCAGGTAGCCGATCTAATCTCCTCTTAAATACTTATCCAGCCTTAGGCAAATAGCATACAATTTAAGCAGATAAAAAATGTTTGCTCTGTATGCGCAACACTTGTGTTTGTGAATAAAAAACAAAGAATAAAAAAGGTGTCAATAAAATGGAAAAATCGCCGAAACAACATTAGTGAAATATAAATTTTAATTAAAACGCATGAGGCGATTTTGTTCAATCGTAAAAAAGCTATTAACAGTGTGTTTTTAGCAATTTATGTGTGCAGATCTATCTTTATGTGCATCCGATTTCTTATATGTTGATTTCTTGTTTATAAAATTATATACCATATTTAATTTAGATTTGGTTTTAATTTAACGATCATCTCAGACCTGTTGCACACCGAACACATGATTCAATCCGGTTCCGTTCAGTTTGTGTTTTTGTGAATCAAAAGAAATTTGAATTTTGATAACAATTTATAGTTTATTTAAATCTCCCTTCTGATAGTGAAATGAACTCAAAGAATACAGATATTTTTGTCTGACTTTTTTGGTGATTAAAACTGAAAATATGAACCTAATTTTACCATAATTACGACGAGACAATCAGATAGTTTTCAAATTTAAATTTTAAAATGGTAATTTATGATTTAAATTGCTATTCAAATGGATTTGAAAGTTATACTACAATCAATGCCATATTAAAGTCTAATAAATAGGTCTATTTAAAAAATTACATAATATCAAGAATAATTTAGCTACTGATTTTGTTCAACCAACCAAACTATACAAATATTTAGCACTTAGCCTGAAATTGATAGAGAATCTCTTTTTTCCATGTTGTGATTTATAGACAATACAAGCTGTTTACTATATCGAAATTAATGGATTTTTTTGGTTCTTGTATGGGGTTTTTTTTTGTTTACGCTTCAGGTGCGCACACGAACTAGGTGTTCGTCCAAAAAATAAACGAAAAGTGAATCAATAATGTATTGTATATCTTGATTTTGGGTAAATTGGGTCAGCTGAATAGGAAGTTCCATCTATGGAGACTGTCAGTAACAAAAGAGACCGTTAGATTCCAAATAATAGTTCATTTCCACTGGCATGAAGTAATGACATGCCTTGGCAGTTGCCTTTCACACGATGACTGGGTCCAAGTCGATTAAGAAACCTCCCATGGAGTGTGACTAAGTCGTGCTGCAAACCCAGTTGCATTGTGAATTCCACAGATGCAATTTGTACTTGTGAATGGCGCTGTTCTCCTCTTAAATTTCACTGGAATTCCACTCTAATATAATTGGAATACCCCAAATACCGATATTCAATTCCGATTCATAATTTATTCGCCTGCGGTCGGGGAAATGGCATAAATGATATTGCATCAGTCGAGATCTGGGGTAATTTAAGCTTTTTCTGATCGTTTTCACTCCGTTCGGCTTGGCTGGCCAACTGTTAAGCCAAGAACCTTGGTCGGCTAATTAGGCACCGATGGTCTCAGCTTTTTAGATCTAGTGTTCATTAGTTTGTTCACCTGTTTGTTTTGCTTGTGCCATTCTACCTGTTATTCCATAACTGAATCACACATCGGTTATACATGTATTTGTTGTTCTGGCCTTTAATGTTATGCTAATTTATGCGGAGCGTGGGTCCAGTACCGGCCTTTTTGCTTTCGTTTCGAGGAAGTGACCGACCCCTGTTTCCTCTCGGCAGTCTCCATCTTGATTAGTATGTATATTAAAGTAAACAAATGGCGTGACCTAATCCCATAAGTGGGCGGGTCTGGGCTAGAAAATAAAAGGCAAGTCGTTGCCTTCATATAGTATTGTATTTTGCCGATTTAATGGACTCACACGTGCCACACCGAAAAGCCTATCAATCAATCTTCAGGCTCCGTCAAACTTTTATATTACAATAATACAATTCACGGGTTTAACGAACTCCGATTCGAAATTTTAATCTAAGGAACTCGCTTCCTCATCTTTGCACGACGGCGATAAAAAGTCACGCCTGATTATGGAAAAATGGCAGGTCATAAATGGAAATTAAAAAAAAAAGAGATTGATAACTTCGGGAGAAGCCGAAGTGATATACCCTTGCGGCTAAGATTGGATATTTATCGCAAAGTTCCCTATATGGACCACAGTGATGGCTATATCTTTCCCCGTTCTCAAGCGGAGTACCTTTAACGATTTCTGTATCGATTCTCCACCACTATGCATCAAAATCCTGAGACGAAATATTTTTTACATTTTTTGTCCATTTTTCCTGATGAGATCCCTTAAAAATGGGGTTTTCCCCTATATGGGCCACCGTGATGGCTATATCTTCCCCAATTCTCATCCGATTCTCAAGCGGAGTACCTTAAACGATTTATGGATTGATTCTCCACCATTCTGCATCAAAATCCTGAGACTAAATATTTTTTAGATTTTTTGTCCATTTTTCGTGAGGATTCCTTGAAAATGCGCTTATCCCCTATATGGGCCACCGTGATGGCTATGTCTTCCCCAATTCTCATCCGATTCTCAAGCGGAGTACCTTAAACGATTTCTGGATGGATTTCCCACCATTCTGCATCAAAATCCGGAGACAAAATATTTTTTAGATTTTTGTCCATTTTTTGTGATGGGATCCCTTGAAAATGCGGTTTTCCCCTATATGGGCCACCGTGATGGCTATATCTTCCCCAATTCTCATCCGATTCTCAAGCGGAGTACCTTAAACGATTTCTGGATCGATTTCCCACCATTCTGCATCAAAATCCTGAGACAAAATATTTTTTAGATTTTTGTCCATTTTTTGTGATGAGATTCCTTGAAAATGTGGTTTTCCCCTATATGGGCCACCGTGTTGGCTATATCTTCCCCAATTCTCATCCGATTCTCAAGCGGAGTACCTTAAACGATTTCTGTATCGATTCTCCACCATTCTGCTTCAAAATCCTGAGACAACATATTTTTTAGATTTTTTGTCCATTTTTCGTGATGGGATACCTTGAAAATGGGGTTTTCCCCTATATGGGCCACCGTGATGGCTATATCTTCCCCAATTCTCATCCGATTCTCAAGCGGAGTACCTTAAACGATTTCTGGATCGATTTCCCACCATTCTGCATCAAAATCCTGAGACAAAATATTTTTTAGATTTTTGTCCATTTTTTGTGATGGGATCCCTTGAAAATGCGGTTTTCCCCTATATGGGCCACCGTGATGGCTATATCTTCCCCAATTCTCATCCGATTCTCAAGCGGAGTACCTTAAACGATTTCTGGATCGATTTCCCACCATTCTGCATCAAAATCCTGAGACAACATATTTTTTAGATTTTTTGTCCATTTTTCGTGATGAGATTCCTTGAAAATGGGGTATTCCCCTATATGGGCCACCGTGATGGCTATATCTTCCCCAATTCTCATCCGATTCTCAAGCGGAGTACCTTAAACGATTTCTGTATCGATTTTCCACAATTCTGCATCAAAATCTTGAGACAAAATATTTTTTAGATTTTTTGTCCATTTTTCGTGATGAGATCCCTTGAAAATGCGGTTTTCCCTTATATGGGTCACCGTGATGGCTATATCTTCCCCAATTCTCATCCGATTCTCAAGCGGAGTACCTTAAACCTAAATTTCTGGATCGATTCTTCACCATTTTGCAACAACATCTTGAGACAAAATATTTTTTTTTAGATTTTTCGCTCCCCCGAACCCTGTAACTATAAGAATACCGAAGTTATGGCATTTCCGATCAATCAGTTATGGCAGCTATAGGACATATATGCATATACTTTATAGGGTTATTTATTTAAAATATAATACCGTCTGCAAGGGTATAAAAATCAAAATATTTTAAAAGCGTTTTTCCTTAGTGTATAAAATACATTAAAAGCCGAGTCAAAGACATAAGCACATAAAAGCCCCGAAGTAAAAGTAGAGCAAACTTTTTATTTCAGCTCTGCCAATGACCTTTAATTACCTTTCACTGGAATTCGTTGAACGTTCAAGAAGGAATTGCCAAAAGCAGACCCAAAAATAAAGTTAAAGCACAGCTTATGAAATGACATGCAAACATTTCCAAAACCTTTAAGTGAGTCGTCTTGATAAACCCAGACAAACATTGCTTTAGTAATTAGCAGAATAAAAACTTCACACCTCATCTTTAATTTAAGTTTCTTGGCTTTAGTATCTTTCCTTCTATTTCTCTTTCCTAAGAGCGGGCATTTAGAACGCAATTTTTCAAAGTCAATGACAGTAAAACAAAACAGTCACCAGAGACAAATGAATAATTAGAATCATTATAAAACCAAAAGATACATGAACTAAGGGAAAACACACTTCCCTCCTGGGCTTTGTTCGCTTTAATAATGAACTAAGCTGAAATTCTGGTCTAAAATTAGAATATACAACAACGTGCAATTTATGGAGCTATAAAATGATATTATAAACAATCTCGATGGTATATTTATGTGCTATTAAAGGTGAAAGGTTGCACTACAGAGTGATGCTGTAACTAACTATAAAAACCATAATTTGATACGTTAGTTTACATTATTTCCCTTCTCAATCTTAAATCTTTGCAGGTCTCTCTCAAAACCCAGTAGCCAGTACTGACAAAATGGAAACGGAGTCCCTGAATCGAAAGAACTCCTCTCGGAAGAGTTCCATTGTAAATGGAAACGGAGATGCCAGCGCCAAACTGACCAACGGCGATGCGGATGGCGGTGATGGAGGCGGAGGTGGCGAGGTGACGTTGAAGGCGAAGATGAGCCTCCTCAACGGCTGCACCGTCATCGTGGGCTCTATTATTGGATCGGGCATCTTTGTCTCGCCCACCGGCGTTCTGATGTACACGGGCAGTGTTAACTTGGCCCTCATCGTTTGGGTCATTTCCGGACTCTTTTCAATGGTGAGTGTTATTGTGCATCGCCCCGACCTTAATTCGATTAGTGGGGCGGCGTGAGAGGCTCATAAATATTGATAACCTGATATGCAAATGGGTCTTGCTTGTTCGCTAACCTAGACACCTGTTGCTGCTCCAGGTGTAAATAACCTGCTGGGATCAGCTGGTCTGTGGCAGGGAAGGAATTCCAAGAGGGCGGAAAAGGGAAAGGATTCTTCTGTTCAATTACGAATGCTGACAGCGTTTGCCTGCGTCGCTTAATGAAATTATTGAAATTCCTGCACCCAATTCAAAGACCCATCCATCCCCCAAGCCCTCTCGCTCAAACGCACGCTCCCACACAAACATGACAGTCCCGTGTCATTTGCACGCCTTGCGGCTTCACTTCAAGTCGGTTCAATAAAATTACGTATACGCATCGTGGCCTGGTTCAATAAAATTGCGTATACGTAGCGTGGGCCATGACAGATGGCAAAGATTGTTTTCAACCGCAATGCTTTAAAGACAAGAAAATTTCTTTAACTTGAAAAAATTTAAAATAAAAATTAATATTAATTTTGTATCACTAGGTCGGTGCCTACTGCTATGCCGAGTTGGGAACTATGATTACCAAGTCCGGTGCTGACTACGCCTATATCATGGAGACTTTTGGACCCTTCATGGCCTTCATCCGACTCTGGATCGAGTGCATGATCGTGCGACCCTGCTCTCAGGCGATCGTGGCCCTTACCTTCAGTACCTACGTCCTGAAACCTTTCTTTCCGGAGTGTGCTCCCCCGGAAGACGCAGCCCGCCTTCTGGCTGTTTGCTGTATACGTGAGTATCGATGAGATTCGATTAGAATTAATGGGCGGGGGGCCGCAATCAATGCACTCGCGTACTTGACCTATAGATTAGAAACAATTTAAATGCGTCCCCTGAGTATAGAGCAAATAAACAAACTGAAAGAGTTTGCCATATCAGGCTTATCAGTTCGTCAGAATGGTACAGCGAGTGATGGAATTTATTTTGTTTATATGTTCGCTGGCAAACAAAAAAAATTTCCCCAAAGAGCTTAAAAATATTTGCTTAACAATGAGTAACACATTCAAGACTTACAATATACCATTTTAATTACAAGATACGTCCATTAAAATCTCATCAAAATCCACAGCACGTTCTGGTAAGCCTCTTAACAATCAATCAAGTACTCTTCCAAACTTTTCGCTTGAAATTAATAAAATGTAAAAGTTTAATGAACTGAAGATTCCATAAAAATAAAAATTCCAATGTTTACCACCCTAATTAGGTGTAAAACGATTTTCCGATTAGCTCCAGATTAATCAACTGGTTCAAATCCAACGTTTATTTTGAAAGAGACTTGTTGATTCCGATTGTCGGTGTTTCCACTCTTTACTTATTAAATAATGGTTTAATGGTGCGGAATCAAGTGCGTTTGCGTGAGACAATAGCCGGGTAATAAATCTCGATTTGTCACATGAAAATCCTCGCATTATTACATCATCCACATGGTTCATTCGCATCTTTGGACTTATATCCGTATAGTTAGCGTGACTTTTAAGTCGCAAGGGGGCTCAAATGTGGGTTAAACGATTTGCTCAATATCTTTTCATTTTGCCTTGCAGTGGTGCTAACCCTAATCAACTGCTGGGACGTTAAATGGGCCACCGCTGTGCAGGATATCTTCACATATGCCAAAGTAAGTCAGGGTAGATTGTATATCCCGGGGTGTAACTCACGCTCATGGTTCTCCCTTTCAGCTTTTGGCCCTGTTTATCATCATTGCCACTGGCATGTACCAACTTTATCTCGGCAATGTCCAATACTTTACGTTCGAGAACACAGATACCAAAGTCACATCCCTGGCGCTGTCCTTCTACTCGGGTCTCTTTGCCTACAACGGCTGGTAAGCGGCTTTGTCACGACTTTAGACTCCCATTGGAGGGACATGAACTAATTGGATTTGTTTACATTGCTGTTGGCAGGAATTACTTGAACTTTATTATTGAGGAGCTGAAGGATCCCGTCAAGAATCTGCCCCGTGCCATTGCCATCAGTTGCACCCTGGTCACCATTGTCTACGTTATGGCGAATGTCTCCTTCTACACGATTTTGTCCCCGGATGAGGTCCTGGGCTCTTCGGCTGTGGCTGTTACCTATGCGGAGCGGGCCTTTGGAATGCTGGCCTGGACCATTCCAGGTACGATTTGGAAGTGAAAACCTATAGCAGCCTCTTTAATTAATCTCTTTTTATAGTTTTCGTGGCCTTGTCTACTTTTGGAGCCGTAAACGGTATCTTGCTGACTTCCTCGCGTCTTTTCTACGCTGGAGCCAATGAAGGTCAGATGCCTGAGATTCTTACCATGATCCAGATCCAACGCTTCACCCCCACCCCCGCTGTCTTGGCCATGGCCTTGCTCTCCATGTTGTACCTGACCGTGTCCGATATTTTTGCTCTCATAAACTATGTTGGCTTCGCCACTTGGGTGAGTCTTTAGATACAATATTAATTTTTAGAGATTCATTAAATTTTTAAAATCTCTCTTTCAGTTGAGCATTGGAGTGGCTGTCCTTTGCCTGCCCTGGCTGCGTTGGGCCCAGCCCAACCTGCCGCGTCCCATCCGGGTGCCCATGGTGTTCCCCATTGTCTACTTGATCGCCACCATGTTCGTGACCGTAGTGCCAATGTATGCCAGTCCCGTGGAGACAGGCTATGGCATCCTGATGATTCTGTCGAGCATACCCGTCTATCTGCTGTTCATTGCCTGGAAGAATAAGCCCATCTGGTTCCAGAAAACCATGGGTAAGTCTCTTGGGGCAGAGTATATGGGGGAAATCATCTTCCCTCCCAACTGCTTTCTGTGCCTCCTCTGATTTTTCACTTTTTCACGCTATGATCCCCACCCGTTTTGAATATTCTAGGCGGACTGACGCAAGTTCTACAGAAACTGATGATGGTTGTGCGTCCCAAAGCGTCGTCAAAGGTTTTTAAGTTTGCTATTTATCCTAGTTTTACTTTGGTTTAATATTATTTTATAAATTTATTCATCTGCACCTAACAGATTGCCTGCTCTTTGCACAATAGTTTCTATATAGTTTCTTAACAACCTAATGAGGTCCAATGATTATTAACAAAGTTTACTAACTTCTAGAGAACTCTACTTGAGTTATACTAACGAACAAGTTTTTGCACCCTTAAAATTTACTTTGCACTTTAGCCATCTTGTAGATCTATTAACCATTAAAACCATTAAGAAAGTGAACTATAATTGCTCTACTTTTTATATTTTCCAGTAAGCCTGACACACTTCCTACAAAAAATGCTCATGGTACTCGGCAAGCAGACGAAACCAGCTCAGGTGTAAGACGAAAGGAGATTTAGATTTCAGGATAGCCAACAGCAGAGGAAAGCATTTATAAGCCCACATTTATCTGCATGATGCATATTATTTAGACAGAGTAAAACGCTTTTGTGTAGCCAGCCAATGAAACACACGAAAATACGAAGTAAACTACATATATTTTTATACAAATATGTATGGCTTAAGTTGGAACAAGGCCCAGTGTCCAGTAGGTTTACCACACTGAAGCTCAATTAGCCACCAGCCCTGGACCCGGACTTAAAGCTAAAGACTGTCACACGAAGGAAAAACTACAAGGAATCGAGCTGTCCAGGGCTGAACGTTAATTTGAATTTTTTATTTTGAATCATTTTAATGGAGCTGTGCAAGCAGAAGGAGTCTTTTACAAATTTCTCATAAAACAACTGTGAAACTTTAATGATAAATTACTTTAAAAAATCGAAAGCATTTCACACATTTTCGCATTTTAGAAACCTGCTCTAGGCGCAGCTTTGGACTAAAATTATAAACATATATAGGGATTTAAGCATACCCAAAAGAAAGGACAACACAGCTAAAGTTCACAATTAGAGTTTATGAATATTTTAATACACATCTGATTTTTTCATTGATTTTATTAAGTGTAGCTTAAGTGGCACAGCGATTTTTTTCATTTGGTGTAAGTTAAAGTATAATTTAGGATACTCAGTTCGCCGCGCACTTTGGCGGCATGGTTTCATTTGTGCATCACAGACAGTCCTTCCTGGAACAACTGCCACGCGTACAAATCCGGGATGAATCCTGAAGCTACCCTATGGCCCCACGAAACCCACAGACCATCGCCCAATGCACATATCCAACAAGAGAAACGCTTTAAAGTTGTTGAACGAGAACAGGAACATTGCCAACATACATATTAATACGAAAATATTGAAAATAACACTAAATGGAAATCGTTGTCTAATTAATTAACCATTTGACCTAGAATTGATTTCAACATTGATTAGTTGTTGTTGCTTTGAGTGTTTGGCATTAACGGAGCAAGTAGCTCCAGGTGTTATTCGTATAAAAATATTATTGCCTATTTAGCATTCAACTATTTAACTGTTACACATTATATGGAGCCGCAGCTGGGGAATCGTTTAACTACTATGAAACATATTGTTGACAATAATATTGTATTTATATATAAATGTATATTATATTATATGTATACCCTTACGAAACCTCTGTCTATCTGAAAATAAGAACGATTAAGTAAACATTTCTTGGTTTTTGTCTCACATCAGGAATACAAGTTTATGAAGATGATGCTGGAGATCTAGCTCCAGTGCCATCTACATAAACTGCTATTCCTCGGAATTTTTCGAATCCTGGGCAGTGATGAACTGAATCAAGCTGAGCCGCAGGTTCTCTATTTCCTGCTGCTTGAGCTTTTTCTCCGCCTCGGATAGCTCGTAGTTCTTTGTACTGACATAAACCTTCAGGGTGGAGGCATAGCCCGTTTTAGCGGCATCACCGGCTAGTTTTTGAAACGTTTTGAGTAACTCCTCATAAGTCTCCCGGGAAGGTTCGCCATCATCGGAGTCCCTCTGCGTTCGCTCTCCATCACCACCGCATTGGTCATCCTGACGTCCGGAAGTCATGTCCTCTTGAATGGATCGCAACTCACTGCAGATGTCGCTTAGCTTCTTCTTATAAAGGGTCTTGAAGTGCTGTTCCATGGCGAGCTTAAGCTCCGTGAACTTGGAGTCGATGCGGCCGTACCAGTAGGCCAGTCCATTGTAGTCCTCCTCCGAGAACTTGGCGGTACGCCGCCAGTGAAAAAGAGAAACGTCTGGTACCGATTTGACCGAGTTACGTGACCCAGACCCAGATTTGATTTGACCCAGACTAGTGGAACTATGGGACGTGGGCTTGGGTTCAGGCTTTAATAGTGGCACTGTCGGCTTTTGGTATTTCGTTAAGGAGTTGTAGGCGGAATCGGCCAGCTTTAAAATTTTACGCCTTGTATCGCCGAGTTCAAGGGCCATGGGCAGTTCAAACATAACCACTGCCGGGATGGGGCATTTGGCATCAAAGGACTCCTTGAGGCAGTCATTGAGCAGAGTGCTCTTGCCCTGCCTGCCCAGGTGTATGGTCTTGAAGAACTCTGCCACATCCGGTCGTAGCTCACTACCATAGATCTGAAATATGGCCAGGTGGATCTTATGTTGGTTCTGTTGCGAATCGCGGAATATAAACTCAAAATCAAGGTAGTCATCGCCCATCCCGCGGGCTCTTATGGTGCTAAAATCATTGACCAACCACTGGAACAGCTCCCTCGTGCTCTGCATGCTTTTTCCGGATTGCATCAGGCGCTGGCGATTGGCCACGGACGCGGGGTCCACCAGAAGGTTCACCATGTCGAACTTCCGCACATCAAAGTAGTCCACATTAACGCCCCTTATCCTACAGCGCAGCTCCACCATCAGTTTGTCCACCTCCGTGACCAGCAGACGGGTCAGCAAGTTCGGGTTGTGGGCCTTTTGCGGCGTGAGGCGCAGTAGACTTCCGTGGCAGCGCTGGCGGAACATTTGTCCCATGAACCCATTCAACTCCAATCGCAATTGCGGCTCGAAATCATATCCAATCGCATCAAATTCCAGCTGTCGATAGTACCGCGGGGAATCTGCAATGCTTTCCATTTTTATGGATGCATTTGGCATCCGTACTAGCATTGTATTGTTGTCCAGCACCTTTATCTCGCCGTTCAAGTGGTTCTCTTCCACGTAGTTGAGCCGCTTCGTATCCGAAAGGCATACCAGGACGCGATGGATTTTCTTCAAAGCCGAGATATTACTCATGGTTTTAATAAAGGGGTTTTTTTAAGCAAAAATTTAAGTAGAACCTATAATTTTGATTGCTTTAAAATAAACTATTTCCATTTAGACAGGTTAGACATATCACAGTTGAGAATTTTTAGTTGCCTCAATTTTTAGTTGCAGTATTTTAAACTTGTGGAGTCCAAGAAAGAACACCTGGCGGCGCATAACTCATGGATCCGGATGCGAAATGGGCTCGATGCTTTTGAGGGACACACCTCCCACCAAAGTTCCTGGGCTAAAGAAGTCTCTTCTCGGTAGCTTAGAGATAATTTGCAACAAGGGGATTAACCGTTCTCGTGGTCACTAAGTGTTTTGGCTTCTCCGAAAAACCATAACCTGCTTCAGCCAGTTTTACAATCTTTCCCCCGGAAGTTTGAGGTCATTAGCAGCTCCAATAAAACTACGGCTGGAATGGGGCAAGTCTTATCAAACACTTCTTAACACTGACATTCAGCAAAGTGCCAGCACCCCCATGCTTTTCAGCTAATAAAATAATTTTTAAACTATGTTTTTGACATCCTTAAAATAACTTTTTCATTTGAAGACAGGTTAAGAAAGAAAACAATTAAACATACGCCGGAGGCTTACACTAGCGATCACGAGTACATGAATTCTGCAGTTAAATGTTTGGTTTGAAAGCTTAAATCTACGAATGATTGTCCATCAGGTCTGTCATCTGCTTAAGGTTCGCCTGCGATGCCTGCAGCATTTGTCCAAATTCAGTGTCGGCTATTTGATGCAGCAGGCCCTCGAATTGGGCCAACTGCTCGTCGAATCGTTGTCGATAGCGCTTCAGCTGTTCCGCCTGCTGGATGTACTGGAGCAAACACCCGTGAACCATCTTGAAACGATCATTGATCTCCCGTTGGCAGTTCTCTAACTGATGCAATTGGGCAAACGAGGTGCTGGAAGCCTTAATCAAGGATTAGTTCAAGTTCTTTCAGGTATTTCAAGGTAGTTACCGTGGTATCTGTTTGGTGAGATCGCTGTTGAGTCGCCAAATGGGCCAGACTCAGAAGTTGCACATTCTTGGCATCCATCTGAGAGCTTCTGGCTAACACATGGACCAACATGAGCATGTATAAAGGATGGCTGCGCGGCTGATTTACGGCGTGCTGCATGAAGGAGATCAGTTCAGTTCCTACTAGCGAAGATGTCATAAGGTCGTCGCTGAAATAGCAGCGAAGTCCACACATTGAGGTAACGCTCAGCTCCTCCATAGCCACTAAGAGCACATACAGTCGGACCGAGAATTGCACACCTCTCTCGGCCTGCTCCACGACGTATTCCACCTCTAGAGCTTCATGACCCGGTCCCGTACTTAGGTCAGCCCTCATTCGGTACTGATTCAACAACCAGACCATTAAGCCATGGGAGTCATTGAAGGCGCACTGCGTCTGCATTCTGTTCCCGTCTGAGCTACTCTTTTCATCATCTAATAGCTTTCGGAAACGCACTATGCCGTGGTCCAGACGTAGTCCTTCTCGCTGAAGCTTCCCGTTCACCTGGATCACCAAGGAGTCCAGCAAGAACATCAAATGACACTCGCGTTGTACTTTCAGATGCATGACGAACCCGTCCCGTCGCTCCACAAAAAGACAGTGCAGCAGGCCAGGGATTTCGTCACCGTTCTCCTGGGTGGTTACTGCATCGAAGCGGAACTTCTGGGCCATCAGAAGGTGCGGCCTGGATGCATTCTGACAGTAAAGTAGACGCAAGGTGCGCTCGTCCAAAACGTTCACCTGGCCGCCATACTGGAAAGTGTCTCCTGCCGAAGACATCGAATAAGGACGCCCAGTGGCAGGTCCACTGAAGGTGTCGCCGCTCTTTTCCTGGGCAGAACTGGGGTTGCTTAGCACCACAACAACTCTTGTCTGCTCCATCATTACAAATATTGAAAATAAAAACGAAAAACACAAAAGCTTGCACTATCCAGTCAATCCATTTACAAATCACCGTTATAATAGCGCTTCTATTTTTTAGTTTATCGGTCAAGAACGATTAATTTGTATACGTGCATACATCGATAGGTATATTTTAAGTTAGAAATTAATTGTTTATGTTCGTGTAAAACTGCCATAACACTATTAATTTATATCCAAATTTCACTGAGACAAAACTTTAATTGAAAGTATCGATGCATTTTTTAGTAGCATTTATATTGATATAAGAAATTTTTCTGTAAAAAGGTATGACTTTGATGTTGAACTTATAATTTTTTATCATTTGTTAATCTATAATTATTCTTTACAGTTCTATTATTTTTTATCAATTTACCAAACAATTTAAAAACTCCCGCCAATTCATACAAACCGATAGAATTTCCGTCTATCGAAAAAGTTGCACCACTAATCCAAGTACAAAAATACGCAAAACGTTTTCTCCATCCGGACAAAATTGTGCAAAGCTCAACAGGTTGCCTTATTTACGCAATAATATCGCACAAACTCGCATTGAAATCAATTCTGGTTCAAATCCCATTCGAGGATATAGCCAAAGTAATGCAGAACAGCTCTGAGGAAGAAACAGCTGCCAGGGCAGGGTCGGAAAAGTTACACCGGCCGCAATTCTTATAACCCGGAACAAAGGCAGGACGAAGGGAAACCGCCATCAGTATTCCAGCGCACCCTAGATGTAGGCCGGGTGGCTCAATTTCAACTGAGATTTGCCGAACAACAAGCCGGATCAATGGCAGCAAAGGAATCTTTTCGCGAGCGACAAACCCAGGAGTTGGAGGTTATAAAGGCAAGCAGCTGTTGAGTACACGTACGGTCAGCCAAATAGTGACGAAATATTTTCTCTTCTTTCATCTTTAGTCTATTTTTGGAGGCGACGTGGAGGACCTCAGGCCACAGCCGAATTCAGCCCTATGGAAGCCCACAGATATCAGGATTTTGCTCACCCCTCTGCGGGACTCCTCCAACGGTCTGGAAGCTTACGTGTGCACCAAGCTGCATATTACCTGTCCGAACAAATACCCAAAACTGTGAGCAGGCTACTTCCATTTAAGGGCGGGAAACCTAGAAAACTTATATGGGTATTTTAGTGTAGAATTAAAAAATACACCTTTCAATAAAAGAAACCCTAGCCCATTTAAAAACCTCCACTCACCCTTATCAGTCATGTCTATTCATTTATCTCCCAACACATTTTTCAAATTAACCCAATGGAATTTTCTGATAAAACTTTTTCTATTTTAGACCCCCAAAAATCGTGCTCGAGGAATCAAAAGGCTTGTCAGATCAGCAGTTGGAGGCTTTGCTTAGCCAACTCCAAACCCAATCCGAGGAGCTGCGTGGCGAGGTGATGATCTACGAACTAGCCCAGACGGTGCAGGCATTTCTGCTGGAGCACAATAAGCCGCCCAAGGGCTCTTTTTACGATCAGATGCTGCAGGACAAGCAGAAGCGCGAGAAGGAGCTGCTGGACATCCAGAGGCAGCGGGAATCGCTGCAACGTCAAACTCTCATCGATGAGGTGGAGAGACGCAAGGAGATGTTCAAGACTGAGGCTAAGCGACGCGGCGAGCCACGACGGAGCATGAGTGAGTCCAATCCGCGGCATCCCAGCTCCTCGGAAAGCTCCGAAAACTCCTCACCCTACTACCGAGGCCACATCTACCCGAGCAAGTGCTTGGATCACCGCAACACAGAGACCTTGTACTTTCATAAGATGGGAAGACAAATCCAGCGAGGATGTTGTTTAGGTATGACATTAAAAGCAGTAAGAAATTCTTATAAACTAATGTATTAATATGAATTGTTGCAGGACACTCCCAAAAAGGATGCATTGCCTACACCGGCATCGACATGCACAGTGGACAGATCCTATACATAACCGAGTGGAACATTAAGTACTGCCACCTGGAGCAGCCATGTAGCGGTGGTGGAAAGTGCCACTGGAGCAGTGAGCTAAAATGCGCTGGCAACCATCGGGTGGATGAGGTCATAGCCTCCATCGAGAAGCAAGTGGCCACCCTGTCTCAGCTGCAGCACAAGAACCTCATACAATACGAGTGCATTTTGTGCATCAAACGCAAGGAGGGATTGCTTCTATACCTCGTCCAGGATTTTTTACTCGGGACCAGTGTCTTTAGTATTTCCTCCTCGCTGGGATGGTGTATGGACGGCGCTCGCATGGTGGCCAGAGGGGTGTTGGATGCCCTGGTCTATCTCCACAACAAAGGTGTGTCCCACAGCCATCTGTTGGACAGCACAGTTTTCATGGATAACACCGGGAACGTGCGCTGCACCGACTTCTCCCTCGTTCCCAACCTACTGGAACTTTTAAGCGGAGCTGGACAGAGCAGTACTCGCGGGGATTTGCCCGCTTTGGGTGCCCTCGTGGAGAGTCTCATGCCCACCAACAGCTACGAAATGCGTGACTTTGTGGACAAGTAAGTATTGCTTCAAGAACCATGTCCTAGAATCATCCAACCAATTTTTCTTTCTTTCCAGATGCAACTCGGACCGCACACTTTCTGCTTCGGAGTTGCTGGAGCATCCGTTTCTTCGATTTTATGTGGACAACGGGCAACAGCAATTAATGCCACTCCCGCAGGAGCGACATGCTAATACTGTCCAGCGTACGGGACCAGCCATGCCCTACCAGATTCCCACCCTGGCCTTGAGTCAGTCTCGCCTGCGAACCGAGTTTGAGGTCATCATGTATCTTGGCAAGGGTGCCTACGGGGATGTGTTGAAAGTTCGCAACAATCTCGACAACCGGGAGTATGCGATCAAACGAATACCTCTGCCTGCACGAAGTCGCCAGCTATACAAGAAGATGACGAGGGAAGTAGAGCTCCTCTCGAGGCTGAATCACGAAAACGTAGTGAGATACTTTAATAGTTGGATCGAGAGTGTAAACGACGCCGATGCTGCCGAGATGGACAAACTTATGGGCGGAGAATGGTCGCAGAGTCAGCAGGAGCTTAGTGTGAAGCCGACCAAGTCGCCGCAGCTTGGACCGACTTTGGAGGAAGAGGAGGACGAAGAAGATAGCTCTTCCAGTATGTGGAATGCCTACATGTACGACTATCTATAGTTATTAGATCTCTGGTAGAAAAGCCTAACCTCCTCCATGTTTTTAGACCCACTATGGATGACACCGATTCGGATGGCATCGAATTCGTGGACTCAAATGGAAAGGTTGCGGTCTACGATGAGGAGGAAGATGACAGCTCCACCCACGGGAAGTCAAACTCGCCGCGGCCCCAGATGCAGGTCATGTACATCCAAATGGAGTTTTGCGAAAAGTGTACACTGAGGTTAGTTCTGATTAAAATATTCACTTTTCTCGAAATTATAAAGTCCTTTTGTAGAACCGCCATCGATGATAATCTCTACGAAGACACTGATCGGCTATGGCGTCTGTTTAGGGAAATCGCCGAGGGCCTTTCGCACATTCATCAACAGGGCATTATCCATCGGGATCTGAAGCCAGTAAATATCTTCTTGGACTCTCACGATCAGATCAAGATCGGAGACTTTGGGCTAGCCACCACCAGTTTCCTCGCCCTGCAGGCGCACGAGCTGCCTGCACATGTGCCCACCCACAATATCACCAGTGCCGAGGATGGAACGGGAACGGGAAAAGTGGGCACAACTCTGTACGTGGCTCCCGAGTTGACAGGGAATGCTTCCAAGTCGGTGTATAACCAGAAGGTGGACATGTACACATTGGGCATTATCCTCTTTGAAATGGTCCAGCCACCGTTTGACACCAGCATGGAGAGAGCTTCGACCATTATGGCTCTGCGGAATGTTTCCATAAACATTCCAGATGCAATGTTAAAGGATCCAAAGTACGAAAAGACGATTAAGATGCTTCGCTGGTTGCTCAGCCACGATCCCGCCCAAAGGCCCACTGCCGAGGAACTTCTCATCTCGGATCTGGTTCCGCCTGCCCAGCTGGAAGCCAACGAGCTGCAGGAAATGCTGAGGCACGCCCTGGCCAATCCGCAGAGCAAGGCTTACAAGAACCTGGTGGCCCGCTGCCTGCAACAGGAGAGCGACGAAGTTCTGGAGCACACCTACCACTTGGGAAGTAGTCGCGCCATGAAATCATGGAACTCTGCCATCGTCATTGACGACATTGTGTCCCTCAACCCGGTAATCGAATTCGTCAAGGGCAAGGTGGTGAATCTCTTTCGGAAACACGGAGCCATTGAGGTAGACTCGCCGCTTCTGTCGCCCCTATCCTCGAGGAACAGCAGTGCCCACGCCAACGCCAATGCTGTGCACTTGATGACCCATTCCGGATGTGTGGTAGTACTGCCCTGCGATCTGCGCACCCAGTTTGCTCGCCATGTAACCATGAACGGTGTGAATCTCATCCGGCGCTACTGCGTGGACCGGGTCTATCGCGAGGAGAAGGTTTTCAACTTCCATCCGAAGCAGAACTACGAATGCTCCTTCGATATCATCTCCCCCACCCCTGGCAGCCATCTGGTGGACGCGGAACTGCTATCGCTTGCCTTCGAGATCACCAGCGAACTGCCTCGGCTTAGGGAACGGAATCTCACCATCCGAATGAATCACACGAATTTACTGCGAGCTATCCTTATCTACTGCAATGTTCCTAAATCTCAATACGGAGCGCTCTTTGAAGGCATTATGGACTTTATCGAGTCCCGCATCTCCCGTTTTCAGTTCCACTCCAGCATCACGGGGATTATGGAGAAGTCTCGCACCTCGGCCCAAACACTGATGGACATGTTGCTGGCCAATTTCTTGCTGACGGGGTCCAGGAGCAGCGTGGATGACTCGGCTCTGAAGACTCTCATGCGTGGAAAGGGAGAGGCTGCATCGCTAGCTAGAGGAGCCCTGAGGGAACTGGAAACAGTCGTAGGATTGGCGTATAGCCTTGGTGTTACGGTTAGTATTTTGAATCTTTAAATGATCCTTATTATAATAATTGGAATCTACTCTTTGTAGTGTCCCATCCACATCTGGGCAGGTCTGCCCATCAGCTTCGAACGAGCAAGTACCGGTGGCATTGTCTGGCAAATGACTGCGGACCTGAAACCTAACCGCTCCGGCCACCCTTCCATCTTAGCGGTGGGCGAGAGGTACGATGCTATGCTACATGAGTTCCAACGCCAAGCACAGAGCTTTAACCCAGCCTTGCCCACGCGTAGCGTGTTGAGTGGAGCGGGTTTGTCCTTCTCCTTGGACAAGTTGGTGGCTGCTGTTGGTGTGGAGTACGCCAAAGATTGCCGTGCCATCGACGTTGGTATATGCGTGTGTGGAACCCGCCCGCCTCTAAAAGACGTGACCTACATTATGCGCTTGTTGTGGTCAGTGGGAATCCGGTGTGGCATTGTGGAGGCTGCCAGCGAACTGGGAGATGAGGCACAAGATTTAGCTCGATTGGGAGCCCTGCACGTCATCCTCGTTGCGGAGAATGGCTCCCTTAGAGTGCGTTCATTCGAGAGGGAACGGTTTCAGGAACGTCATTTGAACCGTGCCGAGCTGGTGGAGTTCGTCCAAAAACTGCTGCGGGGCGATGGCATCAATGCAGCCACTGTGGACTATTCCAGGGAGATATCCAACCAGAGTGCCGGTGGAGGCAGCAGTGGCGGCAGGGAACGGGAGCGCGGAGAGAATGGGCTCAGCACTTCCGGCTCGAATGCAACGATTAAAAACAGCTACAGCCAGCTCCCAAACCTTCAGGTGTCGTTCCTCACCCACGACAAGCCCACGGCCAACTACAAAAGGAGATTAGAGAACCAGGTGGCTCAGCACATGACCTCCACGCTGGCCCAGTTCATCAAAAAGGAGACATTCGTGGTGCTGGTGGTGGAGCTCCCCCCAGCAGTAGTCAATGCCATTGTAGGAGCCATTAATCCCCGAGAGATTCGCAAAAAAGAGACTGAGCCGGAAATCAATGTTGTGATCGAAAGGTGTGACTTATCTTTAAGTCCTATGGCTTGTTTCTAATTCCATATCGTTGCAGATTTCCCAAATACAAACGTTATATATCCGAGATCAATGACGAAGTGTTGGACTATCTGGGCGATGCCAAGACACCAATCGTGGCCTTGTACAGCATTTCCGATTCCTACTACCGCGTCATCATCTAACCCACACGATAACCCTGGAGCTTGACTGGAGGATTGCAGGACTACCTAGTAGTTCGGACCACTTATTAGTTAGTAGCTTAAGTATCGAATTGTCACAAATTCAATTTGGCCAAAATTTAACTTAAGATGGCTGTGTTACGATGCCATTTACCCACTTATCGAATCAAAATTCGTTTCTACCAGCCCTGGTCGCCAGTTTAGGAGCCACTTTAATTAAAACCGGGCTGGTATTTATACTAACTATTATTTTACCTTGATTAAACATGCCTAAGTCAAAAGTAAAGTTTAAAACTTAAGAAATGATTCCTATGCTTACCGAATTCGATTTTAGAAATAAATTTTAATCATTAAATAGCAACTTTGGTGGCATCCACCCAGGGAGATCAAGAGGCTCCTCTTGAAAAGAGATCAGCATCCCACTAGCAGAAGGCGATCCAAGATCTGAGTCTTCATCTATATATTTTATAAACGTTAATATTTTTGACACAAAAATTGTATTCCTTAAAATAAAGTTGCGTGTGTGAACAACTCTTCCCACTGGGATGCCTAACAAAGTCAACTGTACAACTGTCTTGGAACCGTGACTCCTCATCCCTCACGTTCCGCTCTCTTCGGCGGACTTGTTGAGGGTGCGGGCGATGCCTACGGCAGGTCCTTGGAGAACCTTGCGCGAGAGTCGCATAAAACCGGAGACGGGGTCGCGACCGAAGTACTTGACCTGGATCTCTTGACCCACCTCCAGATTCAGGGCCGATGGGTGGGCGATCTTGCGCTGATCCAGCTGTGAGTTGTGTAGCAGCGCTGGCGGCATGCTGGGATAGAGGATGACCATCACTCCCGTGTCGCGTAGCTCCGTTATCTTGGCAGTGTATATTCCACCGAACTCTAGGTCCGGGACGCGCTCCTTTACCATGTAGCCCTCGATCATCTCCTTGGCCTCATCCATGGCCGCCTGTGAAGGGGCAAACACGGAGAATTGGCTTTCGTCGGCGGCTGTCAGAGTGGTGCCCGTCTCCAGGTAGATGCGTTTCATGTGCAGTCCACTCGGACCGATCAATTGCGCTCTCTGGTGTGGTTCCACAGTGAGGGTCTCACTCACGGGCCAGCTGTCCTTACGATACTTTCTGAAAGATCCAAGAATGTATAGGATTTCCTAACTACAAGATTAGTTTCTACTCACCTCGGCTCTCTGATGGCTTCGCCCATGATGTCCAGAATTTTGGACTTGGCATCGGTGGCCTTTTGCAGCGATTCCATTACCACTTTCAGCGGGATTCCAGGAATCTTGAGGTCGGCCTGAATGGCTGTAAAGCCCTTCCTAGTGCCAGCCACCTTCATGTCCATATCGCCCATGTAGTCTTCGATGCCCAGAATGTCTGTCAGGATTCGGTAGTCCTGCAGGTGCTTGGTATCGTCGTTTTCGTATTTTGTGACCAGACCGATGGCCACACCCGCTGCCGGAGCACTCACAGGTACTCCGGCATCCATGAGGGCCAAAGATCCGCCACACACGCTGGCCATGCTACTGCTCCCGTTGGACTCCAAGACCTCGGAAGTGAGTCGCACTGTGAAAGGATAATCGTGCGGCAGGGTCGGAAGCAGGCCTCTTTCTGCGAGGGCGCCATGTCCCAGTTCCCGGCGACCCAAAGGACCAATTCGACCCACTTCACCGGTTGCATATGGAGGGAACTCGTAGTGGAGCATAAAGTTCTTGGCCTTGAGGCCACCACTGTCCAAAGCAGCTAGTGAATCCAGCTTCATGGCACTCTCGGGGGAATCGAGGCTCACTGTGCAGAACACCTGCGTCTGACCACGCTGGAACAGAGCTGAGCCATGCAGAGGCTTGTATAGGTCCACCTGACAGGATATGTTCCGCAACTGATCGTAGCCCCTTCCGTCACACCGTTGCTCCCGCTCGAAGATCAATTCGCGGAAGATCTCCCGGCAGGTCTGGTTGAATAGCTCGCCGATTTGGGAGGGTTCTGTATCCGGGAAGGAACTCCACACCTTGTCGATGACGTTGGACCTCACTTCGTTAACGGCGTTGTCCCGGGAGATTTTGTCGTGATGCGCATCCTGGAAGATCTCTCTCAGTCGCATCTCGCACATGCTTCTAACAGCCTGCTCCAGCTCTGGGTCTGTGGCAGCTGGTGCCTCCAAGTCCCGCTTTTGCCTGCCATATGCTTTCTGGAGGCGCTCGATCTCGTGAATGATGAACTGCGCCTCCCGGGTGCCCTGCTTGATGGCCTTCAGCAAGTCCTGCTGCAGTACTACGTTTCCCTTGCCTTCCAGCATCACCACGAGATTTTGTTTGGTGGCCGACACGACCAGGTCTAGTTGTGACGACTGCAGCTCCCGGCGCGTGGGGTTTATCAGTACTTCACCATCGCAGAGGCCGACTCTAAAATGGAAATGGGTTGTTGTTTAAGACTTCCACCGCTCTTAAATGGTTTACCAACCTTACAGCCCCAATAGGTCCGTTCCACGGAATGTCGCTAAGCGACAGAGCCATGGACGCGGCGTTGATGGCTAGGACATCAGGACTATGAACCGCATCCATGGCCAACATGTTGCACACCAGTTGCGTCTCGGTTCGGTAGTCTTTGGAGAATAGAGGACGCAAGGAACGATCGATGAGACGAGCGGAGAGGATCTCCTTTTCTGACGGTCCCATTTCCCTGCGCATGAAGTTCATTGGGATCCGACCAGAGGCTGCGTTCTTCAGCCGGTAGTCCACCACCAATGGCATGAATCCCTGGCCGGGAGTGGGCTTCGCCTTGGCCACAGCCGTCACCATGACAGCCGTGTCGCCCATCTGGCAGACGGAGCTACCATTGGCAAACCGCGCCAGGCGCCCTGAACTGAATGTCATGTTCCGCCTGCAAAGAGCATTCTTTTGTATTCTTGTTGGTAGTGTTTTGGAATCTACTTACCCATTGCTGAAGTTGACCTCCACTGATGGCCCTTCCCCCGTGGCACTGTTGTGAAGGAGTTTCTTGTGACTGTCACCTGTTAAATTGAGGCATCTTAGGCGGTAATTCAGCAACTTTAGTGTTTTCCTTGGAAGAAGCATGGCCATTACCTAAAAAGTGCCGGCAATGTTCGGCCAATCCGACAACACAATCCCCTGTAATGTTAAAAGTTTATTAATATGGGGATATTTTACAAAATAATAGTGATTACTTTAATAATATTTAAGAATTATTGATGGTAATTAATAAAATTGGTATATAGTTTATAAAAATAAAAGAAATTAAGTTTATGAATTTTAATATTTCTTAATAACAGCTGATAGTCATATGTTGCCACAAGATGTTGTATTTTTGGCAGTCTGGCAACATTATATAATATTAAATGAGAGTCAACAGAAAACAACATATAAAATAATATTATAACTAAAGTAATGGTTAAATCTAATTAAATAAAAGCGATTAAAATCATTAAAATACATTCTGGCACAGTCTGGCAACTGTGCAGGTGGTCTAGTGAGACCGTCCCAAGTTTAGGAAAGAAATACCAGCTGGGGCGATGCTTCGGTCTCACTATCTGACAAATGAGAGCTATATCTTTTGTTTTTGTCTCTTTCTTCGACTCGCAGCGTTCGGACGTGTTTTCGCGTCGTCGCTAATTAAAACCTGGCTCAAATCGACGGCTTCTGGGCCAAAAAGCTTAAGTCTCTGATTTCTGGTCGCTGCTGCGTGTTTTGATCCGTGCGTGTGTTAGTCTATTGCGCGTGTGTTCGTGCACCCAGGTGTGTGTATATTGTGTGTGTGAGTGCCACAGTGAGCGCGAGTGTGTTGGTGAGAGCCGCTACCGCAGCAAACCAAAATCGACAAATGCGGTCAAATTGAAAAGAAAAACAAAAATCATAAAAGCATTCTCGGCCAAGCAGCGAATAGGCCAAGCCAAGCGCCAAGCAAAAGCAAGAAAAGTCTGGCTGGTTAAAGCCAAACGCAGAATCCCACGAAAAACGCCGGAAAATTGCCTCCTAGGCGTGTCGTCGTCGTCGTCGTTGCCCGCTGCCTCTGCCGCTGCTTCAGTTGACGCCTCAGCCTCAGCAACCTCTGTCTCTGCCTCGTGCAAGTGTCGTAGTGCAAAGGAGTGAAAAGGAAAGGGAGAACGGAGAGCACTCTTATCAACTGCCCAGCTTTCTTATCAGGCACACACGGTTGCCGCAGATTGTTGCGAAAAATTCCAAATAATAGAAATTATTAGGAACCACCGCCCTTTAGTAGCATTACCGCAGTAGAAAATCAAACAAACAGGTAAGAACTAAGCCCCCCCCCTACTAGTTAGTAACTAAGCCCAGACATCGAGTCACAGCTCGTTAGTTGCCCCTCAGGTGCATAAATGTTTTTACCGTAATTTACACACGTTGCTGCCCCATACACGTTTGTTGGATGCGCTCCGTGCAACGTTGGGGATAATTAATTGCATTAAGTTCCATCGATGGCGGTGATGCCTGGCTGCCAGGACTCTCCACCCCACTGCCTGGATGGAAAGTGAAAGCCATCGGAAGTGGTCTTATCAGCTGGTACTCTTCTGAACTCATTCCGCTGGTCGCTCTTCCGGTTGTCTTGTCGATGCAGTCATCGGAAGTACCTCTGACCCTCCCAAGAGGTTAGATCGCTGAGGAATTTATGACCAAAACAAACGCTGCTGATAACAGAAAACCGGAACCAGTTTCGCCGAATAACTAACCAGATATCTACTGATATGAAGACTAGTGTTGGTTTCTATTTTGGGATTCTATTTAAAAATAATTAAAATCTGTTTCGGGTGTGTTTTTCCAACAAAGCCAATTAGTGAAACAATTTTAAAATCACCATAAATCAAGTTCGCTCCAACAGGGCCGTAAATCCCAATTCCATTTCCAGCTGACAAATGCCCCGGCCATTAAAAATAGTTTTCCGAAATGAAACTTCGATGGATTTCCATAAATATACTTATATATGTATAGAGTGTTTGGTTATCTTTGTGGAAATGGTTCCGACGACGTCATTCCAAGTCGGAGTAGTATCTGAGATTGAACTCATGAATCGGGGGCTGTATAATTAAGTCGCGCTTTTGCCGATAAACGTTTCCGTTCAGGTCCCAAGAGTCAATGTGTCACCACGACGACCCAAGAAATAATAGCCCACAACTGCAGATGGCTGAGATCCAATATCCCCAGACCCCATGGGGCGCCCTTTTCAACTGTCAAAACTATCGAGTCGGTGGAGGAGCACTCAATGAAGGGCTTGCGTCACAGTTTATCGACTGGGAGCTCCCCCTTCCTCTCAGCGGTGACGTAGGCAATTGGCAGGAACATGTGTATCCTGTATATCCTGTGTGTCCTGGGTGGGTGGCGGGTGGACTAGCAAACCCCCACAACAAATAGAGAACCCAATCGAATATTATTATCAATGGAACCCCAATTTAGTGCGAGGGTTGGCCGGCCCCATGCTGCTCTTTCTTGGCAGGATATCCAGGCCCAGTCCAGTCCAGGGCCCATCCCAATTCCAATCGCAGTCCAGACCACGCCCTGAAATCCCCCTATCCATCCATACAGTCATCCTTTCATCCGCGTGCCATCATCGTCGCCTTCTGCTCTAATTTGGCGCGACTTTGACACTTGTTAGCCAATATGTTTTTGGCTCGTGTTAATGGCCCAACGGGAATTGATATTAATTGCCCCATTCCCCCCGCTCTCCTCCCTTCTAGGCTGCGTGGGCGTTGCCTTTTCGGTCAATATTGTGGCAACAGAAAGAAATGCTCGCAAATCAGCTTAAATCAATTTTTTTTTTGTTCTTGTGGTTTTTGTTCACTTGCCGGGTCGTGGTTCTGGTCCTGTTTATGGTCCTGGCTGGGCAATCGGCTTACCATGTTGGTGGTGCCTGTTTTTTGTTGTGGCTTTGACTTTTGAAAAGGGCTAGCTGGACTTGTAGAGCCGCTCATTCTAATTAATCCTCAAAATCCCTATTGTTGGTTGAAAAATTCAATAGAATTCAGTCTTCTAGCTTCAATCATAAAACTAAATGCCATTTGTGGAAGAAAAGTTTCAGGAAAATGCTGGAAAAGTTTGTGGAATGTGTGGTAGGCTCATTAGAAGTGAAAGAAGACACTTGCCGGCAAGCGAATTTAATAGAAGCTGGGTTGGGTTGTGGCTTCTTGATTTATTATCCAACTATTTTTATTATTTTTTTGAAGATTTCTACAATTAATGCTCATACTTCTCCCTCTTCGAAGTCCTAGTTTCAAGTCTCTTTCTAGGAATATCACGCATTCCCTTTCAACACCTGACACACCTGCCTAGTCTTCCTCTTGGTCCTCTTGATAAGAAATTCCTGGTGCTAATCAACAAGACAGCCCTGACAGGTGGGTGGGCGGAAGACAGACCAACCTGCCGTAATGACCTTGATAAACTTTCGTTCCATCGACAACTTCCTCTCTCCTGGTCTGGTTGTTTGGATTGGCTGCCTACCCGGGATGTTTGCTCTCAAGTCTGCCCGAAAAAAACGCTTTACATTCTCCATCACCGCCCCTGCCATTACCACGCCCCCTACCCTAAATATATAAAAAAAAAAAAACAATCGTAAAGAAAAGTTGTCTTTTTTGACATTTTTGTGGAGCTGCTTCCTGTCCTGTCCCCCAATTCTGTTCAGCTTATGCCGGTTCGACGCTTTTGTTGGCTCTTTTTTTTTTATTTTCAGTTTTGATTAAAGACGAACCCTTGTCTATCCTTAGTCCCAGTGCCAGTCCTGGCTATAAGCTCACCTTGGTTGGCTGAGTGTTATTACCACTTTGTCGCAACAACCTTTAAACTTTGCCTTTGAGGGAGGTCCAGAAACAGAAATTGGATTTTTTTTTGGGAGCTGCCTCTGTCAACAGACAAATAGGATATCATGATCCATCAACAATGCCCCCAGCCCCGCCCATCGGGCGCCCCGAAAAAAATTATGCAAAGTGTCATTGAAACTTGGCTAATGCAAATAAACCCCAGGCCGGACTCTCAGCGAGAAAAGGTGGCGTCCCGTGCACTTAAAAACCAATCACTTGTGCATTGACCCTCTCCCAGAAGAACCACTGGGAGAACCACTGGGAGCGGGAGCAGGCACTGCAACGCACCCTACACCTTGACACTGTGGCGGTCGCCAAGTTTGGCGAGTTGGCAACAGCGCCAAATGAAATGAAAAGGGCTGGGCGTAGTAGCTGCCAGCAGAGGCCATCTGAGGGAAGTAGTCGCACTAGAGGATACCCTTTAAACAGGATTTAAGCCAAAAAGGAAGATGGTCTACAACATTGAACTTTCCTCTACCAGTTACTCCATATTTGTATTTTATTTTAAATATTTTAATATTTAAATATATATTCCAAATGCCCTTCCCTGGCCATGACTAATCATCCACGAGGGTATACCGACATTTTTATGCAAAAACTTGATGCCAGAAACAGGCTCTGGGCTTACTCGGCAGACCGCATCCACCAACTCGCTGTCTGGGAAGACCGACCATACGTGTAGAATTCATTAACAATAATTCCCAGGTGCGGGGATAAAAGGGCTGTGTGAGAAGCTATAGGTCCACGCGGCCTCTTGGTTACCAAGAATTTCTGTTTAAGCCTAATCCTGGGTGGTCCTCTTTATGGCCCGAACTTGGCAGCGCAGCAGCGTAGCTGTTTTGAGAGGCGGCCAGGATCTCGAGATGGAATTGGAAATTAAATTGAAATTTGAAAAGATCGAATCAAAGATTGTAGACTAATGTTGCTATAGTAGATATAAAAAAACATACAAATATCTATCTTTATATCTATTATATATATATCATAGTAGACATAGTTGCTGGATCTAGAGGGTATACTTAAGGGTCTATACATATTTCTGTATTTTCCATAAGAATAATACGCATAGCTTAGCCATTTTTGAATCGATTTTTAAAAGGAATACCATTTTTGAATCAGAGCTCCTTACTTATCTTTTTTGCATCAAAAGATTAAAAATATAAAAAAAAAAAATTTCGACCCATTTTTAGCCAAAAATTCTGATGGTACCCCTTAGAAAAATTTCGAAAATTTAGTCAAAAATTTCAAAGCCTTATTTTGATTGGAAATAATTATACTAGGAGTTCTAAGATCGGGAATGTA